GCTTGGCACCTGGACAAGCCACGAGTGAATAACGAATCACTCTGTAATGTGCAGCTGCTGATCTGGTATTCACCTGCGCGCTCAACAGGACCTAATTACTCAGGTGCTGACGAACGATGTGCCGCCTTCGCTGGGCCCCGTGCCAGGGACCAGCTCAGGCATTGCAGTGACTCTAGACAGCAGAGCACATAGAGGAGGGGGGCATCCTATTTTACACCGCCCCCAGGCACAACACCCCGTGGACCCAAAGCATTTAATCTGTGGAGCAAGTGTCTCTGGGGTAAAGCACGGCACATATTTGTTCTACATGGCATAGGAAGAAAACACCCCAAGGAAATCTGGTATCAATCCTTATGCTGCTCACCAGGGTACAGTGATGTTACAGAGTGTGGGGTTCAGAGGTGCTATGCACCTAAGTGGTTTGTGCACTTAACCAAGAGGCAGGTAACCAGGGCTTGTTACAGCGGGAGCACCAGGCTAGTATTTGGACTGAGTTTTAAACCCCGTATTCATGGATGGGACTAAAGAGCGAGGGGTTGAAGGAGATGATGTCTTGTGGACAGGTGCGCAGGAGCACCGTTCTGCGGGTGCGAGCGTTGGAACGGGGGCGCAGGTTCCTATGGTAGGTTAAGCAAGCAATGATCAGTGACTAGAAGGTGTCTGTCTATCTATCTATATCTAGATATAGATCTATCTATACCTATATCTAGATATAGATCTATTTAGATCTAGATATCTAGATATAGATCTATCTAGATCTATAGATCTATCTATAGATAGATATCTAGATACATATATCTGTTGATAGATAAAGACACATATTTAACAAAAAACAAAACCCATCAGGCTAGTATTTGGGCTACGCTTTATAGCTGATAATAGCCAGGTCACTGTGTTACACAGTTAAGCACATCAGGCCCTTATCTGGTGTTCTGGCAAGAGGAGGATTTTTGTATTTTTAAAGCAATTATATATGGAAATGAGTAGCCACAGAAGCTGCCGCTCTTTAAATGATGAGGCAATGGCTCGACTCATGCCTTTCTGTTTCTGCTGCAGCTGCCGATTAAACCCTGCGTGCCGAGCTGTGGCAGTAGTTGGGTAAATATCACCGGATCATATCGGATTTACCCAAAGAAACTTGTCAGCGGATCATCCTTCCTTTCATCAGGGATGTGCCGGGCAGATAGGGCAGCACGGGAGGCGTGTGGAGTTACTATAAGAGTGCACTATGAGTGGTTAAGAGTCTTTCTGGACAGGTCTTTAGGGCAGCCGAAGATGAGCTCCACCCTGGGAAATCTAGGTCGTGTCTTCCTCTCCGGGAGCCGAGTTATTTGCTTCCTTCTCACATCTCCGGGGTCTGGTGCTGCTCACAGTGAAACCAATAGCAACAAGTGCATAGGCGCCGACTTTCATTTTTGCCAGAAGGGGCCTAAGATGATGGACAAGTGGAAAGCTTTATGCTTTTCACGTGACAGCCCTCTTCCCGAGAGGGGCCAGGGCCCTAGGGCCCCACGTACTTGGCATCTCTGAACACATGTAGGGGCCGGATTGTCCCCTGCCTTGCATTTTGAGTGCCTCTGCTGGGGTAAGTCAGCCTGATTTCCAGGAGAGGGGAAAGGGGAGCAGGTAGACTCTGAGTGCTCCAAGTTGTACCCATTTACTTGGAGGGTAACTGAGGACAAAGGCACAGGGCAGAGAAGGATCAGGTCCCTATTCACTTGAATGGTATAAGATTGGGACACTTCAGCGCTCTCCATCACCTGGGTTACTGCACACAGAGGCAGGAAATTCTTGCAATTCCTAAAACAAGCTGTTTGAAGCCTGGCCCTGTAATCATTTTAAAAGCAGCTGCTGCTAAGCTGGGGAGGGAGGAAGCAGCAGCAGCTAGCTGTAGACCTTTATTTTCTTCCATTAGGCCACAGATGAGGTTTCACAACAGCAACCAAATACAGAGAGAGGACTAAAAATCACTTCACTGCAAGGCTGGAATTGGCCTAGGAAGAGCCCAGGCTGCCTCTGCCCGGCGCGGCACCCAGCCTGGCGAGCTCTGCCCTGCTGCACAGCACGGAAGTGGACACACGAGCTGGGCCTGGCAGTGCTGTTGCTTCTGTGTCCTGCGTGGTTGGTCCCTTGACCCGGAGTTCAGCTCAGCTGGGCAGAAATGTTGAAGGTAGGTGGCAGCCGCTGCCAGACCCAGTGTGGTGCGAGCCTCAGAGAGCCGCCAAGCGAGTCTTGGTCCAGAAGCCTCAAGATCCCCTTTGTCGGAGCTATTGCAGCCCCCGTGCCCCGTGTGATCACAGCTGGGCTGGTGGTAGGTAACACCTAGGATCGAGGACTAATCCACCTGTACAGGCTCCAGGGAGCTTTCCCTGAGTGACACTGGCAGGATCAGGCCCAACAGCTTCAAAGCACCAAGGAGGGAGTTAATAACAGCAATGGATTTGCCCAGAAGGCACAGCCATGGGGCGGATGCCCACAGTGCTGAGCTGAAGGGCCACCCTTGCCCCCGAGGGCAGGATGTGAGGGACAAGGAGGCAGTTTCTAGCACTCCCCCAGTGTGAAGCTTATGTCAAATGCCCTGGGGGGACAGCAGCAGGGCTCAAACGTTTGCAATCAGCAGATCAGAGTCAGATCTCGGGTATCATCGCAGCCCCTCACCACCCTTCTCAAGGGTTTAACGGGAAAGAAGGTGCTGGACCCCTCACCCTGGCTCTGTGCGTGTGTGTGTGTGTGTGTGTGTGTGTGTGTGTGTGTGTCCCTTGGAGCAAGGCATGTGCATCACTGTATCTGCACGCATACATGCCTTCCAGCACGGGTGCTGTGTCTGCGCACATGGGTGCAGCTCTTGCGTGTGACTGTGTGCATGGATGCACATGCCCCTTGGAGCAAGAACTTGTGTGCGTGTGCGTGTTTGTGGTCTCCGTCACCGAGCGAGCACAGCAGGGCTGTCCAAGAGGGGCACAGCAAAGCTTATCCGAGAATACCAGGGCTGGGGTACACGGAGCAGGGGAAGGGCAAAAGGAGGTGGATGAGTATAAAATGAAGGGACTTGCAGCCTCCCTAGATGAGCCTGGTCCCAAGGCAGCA